TAAATAAAAAAAAGGAAATTTTTAAATCTTTTATTATTATTATATATTATTAAATATTATATTATATTATATAATATTTTGAATGGAGAAAGTTCAATTTCATTTGCACAATTAATGTTCATATTCTTACTTTTATTTTTTTGATTATTTTTTAAATAATCACATAATATGTTATATTTAATAATATTAATATAATAATAAATATATTGCAAGTATAGGGAAAATAAAGAAATATCGATTAAGAGATAATATCAGTTTATTAAATATAAAATATATTTTTTTGTTCCTATTTATCGATATTTACAAAATGAATAAGCGTTTATATTGATCTTAAGAATTTTATGTTTAATTAAGTATAAAAAATTCTTTTATACATTTAATATTTAATAAATTATTTTAAAATCACATACGAATGTAAATAAATTTCAGATTAAAATTTTTAATCATAATCGGATAATAATCATCTATTTATTTAAAAAAAAATTATAGATTAATAAGTATCATAAGCCATAAATTAGTTACAATAAAGAAAGTTTCATCAATTATAAATTATTGTAATTTAATATTTGGTATATTAATATATTAATTCAATATATTATCATAATTCATATAATATTGATATATTTATGGGACACGTTTTTATTTAAAAAAAAGTTGATTCAATAGATTAAAATAAACATAACTTTTAATGTCAATTAAAGTTTGAATTAAATGAAATAGAATGGAAATAGAATAAGATAACTCTTTGTTTTATTTCATTTAATACAAATTAAAATTATTAACTTAAATAATAATTTAATAAATAAATTTCAACTAATATTTTTATATATCAATTTTTACATTTCGAGAATCGATTATCTCAAACTATTTTACTTATATATTAATATCTTGTACATTTTTTAATATTAATGTAAGATGCAAATACATATCTTATTTTTTTAAATGATTTATTTTTAAAAAATCAAAACATTTTCATTCTTTTTAAAAATAAAAATATGCAATTAAAATTTTTGGACGAAAATATAGATACAGATAATATAGAT